AGTTGGTGTTTTTTCAATGTATGCTTCAGACACGGGTCACGACGAGGCGTTCCCCATAGCGATCCCAAGAGGACGCAGTGTCTCATTCCGTACTCAGGGAACCATGGTTACACAAGTAACCTGAGACGTTATTTAGCTACGTTTTTTCTTCTGCATACCATGGATGAAAATCCTGTGGCCGCCCTAATTTAGCGTTCTTGCCACTTTAGAATATGGCTGTGTGTTGAATTTATGCAGTGCCAAATGTTTAGGTTCATTTGCACCAGTTTGCCCTTGCTTTTTTTTTGTGGTAATCAACATGTCAGAAATGCTGTTGGTTGATATTAACTTGTACTGGACCTGGAATATTCTTTTAAACTTGTGTAAACTTGTAACTTCTATGAGGAGATGATCAAACTCACCTGATACTCTCAGTGTAACTGCATCACTGCGGTGTGAGTAGCGTGATCCTCCTCTCTCTGTTCCATAACATGAGTATTTACCTGCGTCAGACTCAGTAACAGGACTGAATGTGTGTTCCTGTAGTTCACTGAAAACACTGACTAAACCATCTTTATACCAGTTGTACCGCCAACTTGTGAATCCCTCACCATATATGTCACATCTGAGAGTGACTGTATCTCCAAATGCATGTCGATCAGGTTTGATGGTCACTGTGGGTTTTGGTCTTTCTGTACAATGACAACAGTTCACAATGAAAATGAGATAAAAAGTAAAATTAATAAAAATGTGCTGTGCTTTTGTGTTAAGATATCATTTTCTCAGAGAAAATAAAAAATACTTGCCATATATTGTCACTGTTACTGGTTCACTGTAATCTGTGAAATATCCCCCTCTTTGGGCTCTGCACATGTACTCTCCTCCATCAGAGACTTTCACTGAATTGATTGTTTTAGTTGCAGCTTCAGTAGATTCAGTGTTTGAGTTTTTACTCCAGAGAAACTCCCATCCACCCTGTGACTGATCCACCTCACATCTCAGAGTAACTGAGTCTCCAGTGAACAATGAACTCTGTGACCGCGCAGTCAGTTTTGGTTTAGGAAAATCTGTCAATATAAGGTCATTAGTAGCATGAGTGGTGAAGATTTTTCAGCAGAAGTTCTCGTCTGCTTACTGGTACAGTTGCAATCAAAATTATTCACTCCACCCCCCAGAAATTGTACTTTAAAAATACAAGCCTTTCTGAAGATTCAGGATTTTATAAAAATTGCATCTGTAACAGTTTACTGGCATATTAAGAGAGATAATTTACATTTATAATGTACTATTTTTGAGTTATAGGATAATAACACAGCTATGTCATAATTATTCAATCCCTATTATGCAATCCCTAAAACATTGCTGTTTTTAAGTCACTTATTTGTGTGGTGGGGAAGAATTGACCCATCAGTAAGTTACTGTTGCTCACTTGGACAAACAAACAGAGTTGCTACTGTCTTTGAGAGTATGACAACCAGAAAATGAACGTTTTCATCTTTATTGGGATTGGGGTTGAATGCTTAGGGACATTTTTGTTCTGTTTTGTTTGGATATAGGAAATGTAATAAAATAAATTCCATAGCCCATCCTCTCAGGATACCTGGAATCAGGCTTACAAGTATTCCAGGCACATCGTTTTTTTTTTTTCATTTTTGTAGCATAAACACCATCAAAACGATGTGAGCTTCGAATCTTCCAATGTTTCTCTATGGCGCTGAAACCAAAAGATGTTCAAGTTCTGCTCCCTGTGCAACTGATACTCGACTGCCATTGGCTCATCTGCGTTCGAAAGGGAGGGGCTTACCGATAGGTCAATTGTCTTAAAGGGGTCATATGATGCGATTTCAATTTTTCATTTCTCTTTGGAGCATTTTATGGAGGACTGTTTCCTGATCCTGGTAGAGTAGACTACAATGCCGGCTGTTCTGACTCACAGACTGTAAGTACGTTTTTTATATTTAAAGAATTTGCCACTACACTGGCCAAAAAACTCTCGTTTGAATCGTTAGAGTAGCACTTGTTGTTTGTAATTTCTCCGATCACAAATGCAGACATGGTTTTATGTTTACGCGGCGCGATGCAACGCAACGCGTAAAAAGACAGTATAAGTCATTATAATCCGTAATTATGTCCCCACTGGATGCCACAAATGCCTCGTTTATAATGGGTTTTAATGTTTTTGTCTCGTAGCTACGGCCTGACAGTGCATCACAATATGGTAAGGGGCGTAACATTTCCATCACACAGTATGGTAAGGGGAGTAACATTTCCGTCACACGCTTGAGTTATTCGGCCAATCACAACACACTGGATAGCTGGCCAATCACAGCACCCCTCGCTTTTTCAGACCGATGAGCTTAGTAAAAATCGACGCGTTTCAGAAAGGCGGGGCATAGAGGAGAAACTATAATGTACAGTATGTGGAAAATAATGTGTTTTTTTTAACGTTAAACCGCATAAACAGATTTCATTACACCAAATACACAAAATAATGTTCTTTTTAGCAGCATCATATGACCCCTTTAAAACACAATTAAGTCTTTAGAAACGTACATTTAGTTTCTAATAGTTACATTTAGCCCATGCATATGCTGAAGTTGAGTAGCAAATATGTCAAAGCAAATATATGTCTCACAAAAGCTATAGAGAAGATATATTTTTATTATGTTAGAAAGTCTAAGTCTAAGACATTAAAAAATCCTAGTGACACAGAGCTGACAGCCTTATTCCTAAGCATAAAATGTGTTGTACCAGAAGACCTTTGATGGTGTCGAAGAAAAAGCACAATATCATAAAATGTTTGATCACAACGACTGAAAAAAAACCTGCAATGTACAGCTAAAGACTTGCAAGATGACCTGATGAAAGGAGAAACAAATATTTCAATTCAGAGTATAAGAAGAACACTAGACAAGTGTGGCCTTCATGTTGGGGCATCTTGCCAAATGACTCTTGACCAAAAAGAACAAAAAAGGCCAACTTGAACATGCTAAAATTCATTTGGATAGACCTGTGGAATTCAGGAAGAATGTTTAATGGAGTGATTTAACCAAACTGGAACTTTCTGGACCCATGGATCACTGGTATATCTGGTGCAAAAAAAGGCAAAGCTTATCCACCTTATTTTTCAACGTGCATGTAAGCCGTTTTCTGTGAATGTGCGGGACTTCAGGCTCATTAGCCGCTATAGGGAAATAATGAGAAGAATAAAGTGTAGTAAACTGTAAAACTGTTTGCACTACAAACAAGTTTGTTCATAAATAAGATAATACTTTAAAATAATATGGTAAAACATACCAGTTTGCAATATCAAGCAGCAAAACGAGCTGTTTCATACAGCTAAAAACGGCTGTACCGGAAGCCAGACACATAAATTTATAAATGGCTGCGCCTGCTCTTACAGGAAGAAAATAAGATTGATAAGCAGTAGAACACAATCTCCATGGTCAAACATGGAGGTGGACCAGTCCTATGGGGCTGTTTTACTTTTGCAGAAGGTGAAAATCATGACTGTATGAAGGATATCATGGATTATTTGATATCAGGCCATTTTGGCATGAATTGTGATGCCTTTGGTGCAAAGACCGAAGATGATGGTCAATTAACTTTCCTGCAGGACAATCATCCCAAAGTATACATCCAAATCTACTTATGTTTGGTTCAGGGATAAATCATAGAATGTTCTTGAATGGCTTGTTCAGTCATTTAATTCTCATTGAAAATATCTGGTTGAATTTGAATAAAGCAGTAGCAATGTGAAAACTAAAGATAATCAGTGATCTGGAAGCCTTTTCAAGTGAGAAATGGGACAAGTTTGCAGTTGAGAGGTGATGGAAGCTTCTAAGCACTTACAGCCCACATTTATTGGTGGTTCTAAAGAATAAAAGATTCTGCACCAAATTTGACTTATGGTCAAATGACTTACTGATTACTTTGTTGAATTGTTAACAAAATCTTGTTCTCTGCAGCAAAATGTCTCACAGGTCAAGGTGGTTTAATAATTTTGATTGCAACTGTAAATCCCCTCCCCTGTGCGCTTCAGCATGCTAAAAGAGCTTTTTCCCTAAAAGAGTATTTACGGGTGCGTCTTTTTAAAGACGACGTTGCGTGGCAAACTTGACGTTACGTCTTTATAAAGACGATGTGGGTCTTGCTATAGACAACGTATCACCCGGGCGTTTCTGGATGCGGTCGTTACCTGGCGCTGGGTGATGGTCACGATCGCTGCCTCACGTGCCTGGGCATTTAGCACGCTGAGGTGGCGTTTGTGGATGAGTCATGTTCTCATTGCGGGAAGATGATACACGTTATATAAACGAAAATGGTGGTGTATAAAATTGATTTTAAGATAAAAAATTAGACGACAAAGAATTAACTTGACGGAGCTCAAACTCAAAACACACGGCAGCAACGTAATCAGTAAAAAAGCTGTCACGGGCTGCGCTCCCGGGAGAATGGAGACTCCATCCCCAGACGGTCCAGCTGATTTGGAGTCATTTTGGAGCCACTCAGGTAGACCTGTTTGCCTCTCCAGAAACCTCTCACTGCCAGTTGTTCTACTCCCTGACCGAGGGAACACTCGGCACGGACGCATTGGCACACAGCTGGCCGTGGGGCCTGCGCAAGTATGCATTTCCCCCAGTGAGCCTTCTTGCACAGACACTGTGCAAGATCAGGGAGGACGAGGAGCAGGTCCTGCTCGTGGCGCCTTACTGGCCCACTCGGACTTGGTTCCCGGAACTGATGCTCCTCGTGACAGCCCCTCCTTGGCAGGTTCCTCTGAGGAAGGATCTACTAACTCAGAGACGGGGCACCTTGTGGCACCCGCGTCCAGACCTCTGGAAACTTCATGTCTGGTCCCTGGACAGGACGCGGAGGTTCTAGGTGACCTACCCCAAGAGGTAGTTGACACCATCACTTCGGCGAGAGCACCGTCTACGAGACACGCTTACGCCTTGAAGTGAAACCTGTTCGTCAAGTGATGTTCTTCTCACCGAGAAGACCCCCGGAAATGTCCGATCAGAGTCGTGCTGTCCTTTCTGCAGCAGGGGTTGCGAAGGCTGTCTCCCTCCACCCTTAAAGTCTACGTGGCTGCGATTGCTGCCAACCACGACCCGACGTGGCCTCGATGAATCCGTGAGAACCGCCGGAGGGCTGGGTTCCATATGTAGAGACCTAAGTGGATCCCATATGTGTAAAATCCACGGTATAGCCTCAAAGCCCGTGTTTCCCCGGCAGACTTTTTGCTATTTTTCCAAGAGGGTTACAATCACCTCTAATCTTCCATATGCGCCTAAACGGTTGTTCATATGTGTAAGTGCTTCCGAAACCTCCTTCGGGAAGGATGGTCCCGAGTGGTATGGGTACGTTTTCCCAGTGTTATCCAGTCCTACTGAGTGGGTAGTGCCATAGCAGCAGTAGCTGGTCTTCTTGTGGTAAGCCCTGGCCTGCGCCAAAAAATAGTGGAGCAAGAGGCTTCCACGGGATGCAATAATCGCATGCAAATGTGCATTGGCTCGTTTAGTGTACACTCGAAGTGGATTGGTCTCTCTAAGCGAGATCCCAATTTGTCGGTCATCCGATGTGACGTCTCTGTTCCCTCCTTCAGGGAACGAGGGTTACAATACTTAACCGAGACGTTTTATTCCAAGAAACAACATGACTACCTTCTTGGGATGTAAATTGTTAATGGATGTTAAAATCAAATCCAGCCAACTTTTGTGAGACTTTGTTTGAACATCATGTCAGACAAAAAAATAAATGAAAGGAGCAAGCAAAATTTAAAGGAGCAAAAGATAATTGCTTATTAATAACATGTTGAGTGTATGACGAGATGATCAAACTCACCTGATACTGTCAGTGTAACGGCATCACTGATGTTTGATGTTCGTGATCCTCCTCTCTCTGCTCCATAACAGGAGTATTTACCTGCATCAGACTCAGTAACAAACCTGAATGTGTGTTCCTGTAGTTCACTGAAAAAACTGACTGAACCGTCTTTATACCAGCTGTACTGCCAGCTAGTGACTCCTTCACCATCAATGTCACATCTGAGAGTGACTGTCTCTCCTCTGAATACATGTTGATCAAGTTTGATGCTCACTTTGGCTTTTGCTCTTTCTGTACAATGACAACAATTCACAATGAAAATAATGTGCTGTTTTTACTATATGAATACAGTTACTTGATTGTAAAACACACATGCTAAATCAGGTTACAGTGAAGTGTTATAATCACTGATTCAGTGTCTTATGAATTATTTTCATTGTGTTCTCAGAGCAGTTCATTATGTGAGCAAAATACTTGCCGTATATTGTCAGTGTTACTGGTTCACTATAATTTGTGTAAAGTCCTCCTCTTCGTGCTCTGCACCTGTATTCTCCTCCATCAGAGACTTTAACTGAATCGATTGTTTTCATTGCAGCTTCAGTAGATTCAGTGTTTGAGTCTTTACTCCAGAGAAACTTAAATCCATACCATGACTGATCCACCTCACATCTCAGAGTAACTGAGTCTCCAGTGAACAATGAACTCTGTGGCCGCACAGTCAGAGTTGGTTGAGTAAGACCTGTTACTATAAAATCATAAGTAGCATGAGTTGTGAAAGTTTGAAAGTTTTTGAGCAGAAGATCTCATCCGCTTACTGGTAAATCAGTGCATTTAGATTTCACAGAGAATGTATAAAGCTGCTAGCAGCTACAGAGACAAGAGTGGTCAACATTTGTGTAGCATAATGCAAAGAATTAAAAGGAAAAAAGGTTTCTGCAACTTTAAAGTCACCCATAGTTGGGGTTCACACTACCTACATACATTCGAGATGGTCCTCACTGCAGAACACAAGATCCAGGGGGCGAGGTTGGATCCAGATCCAACTCCTCCCACCTTACATATACCTAAACCTACCCGTCTCCACCCCCTGATCCCTAAACCCACCCATCTCCACCCCTAAACCTACCCATCTCCACCCCTAAAGCTCCCATCTCCACCCCCTAGATGTGGATCCAACCCCGCCCCCTGGATCTTTGTTCTGCAGTGAGGGGCTACTGCAACATTCAACAAAGTGTTGCAAATTGTTGTGGTAGTTCAAAGCATTTGGCTATTGCAGGTCCTGTAACTCTATATAATTTTATTAATTTTGTTTAAATGTTTGTGGTGTTCATAGAGTTACTCATTTTAATTTTTGTATGCAAATATTTTTGGCGTTATTTTTGTCACACTTTAGAACTGCCTATATTCACGAAAATGGTGTGACTTACTACTACGTGAAACAACCATGAATTAACATCTCATGTAATCACTCAATCAGTGTTTCAGTTGCGGAAAGATGTCAATAAAACAGCTTGTAAACAATATTACATGTAGAAGATCATTTTGCAAAATATTAGACTATATAGTATAGTAATAATAATAAATATATTTATATATATTTATATTAAATAAAATATTAGATTTTTATCCATAAGAAAATTTTAATTGCAATTCAATTTATTTAAAGAAAAATTTTGTTCAGTAAACCATTGTTTAATTAATAATAAAAAAATAAAAAAAAGTTTAGTGTTTTCTTCCTGCTGTACTGAAACATACCGAACTGTGACGTCAAAACCGAGGTACGTACCGAACTGTCATGTTTGTGTACCGCTACAACCCTGTGTTTTTATAATCAAAACACTCATTTCTCATCTGGTTTGTAACAGATTAGAATCAACTGTATGTTATGAAATAAATTAATCAAATTCACTCACCTTCAGAGTGAATGTTTGAAATCAGCACTAAAAACACAAAGAAAAAAAGTCATTATAGTGTGAACATGAAGCTGATCAACTGTGTATTATACATCAGACATATTATAAAGGTATATTCTTCTTTCTCTCCTTCTTGAATCACCATCATTTTACTCTCAAATGTTTCTCAAAGGTTTATGCATTATGTAATCACATTGGAAAGGTCACGTGTGGTTAGTTCTTCGTCCGTGTACTTCGGTTCAAAATGGTAGGGTATGGCAAAAAACTCCAACTAATTTTCTCCGCTAACCTCTAAATCGTCCGACATTGTTATTTTTTTTT